GTCTTTTTCGATAAATCGCGATAGTGTCACTGTTAATTTAAGTTCTGCCACAATTTCCATCTAGATTTACTACCTTTATACAACTATCAGTAGTAGAATAAATAATAAATAACATAAAATAAGCTCCGTAAAGACTGACAAATCCACAAAATTTCAAATCAAATTCAAATGTGTCAAATGAATCGTCAAACAGAACTCTCGAGGATCCCCACCCTAGAGAGCTTTTATGGTGGCTTTTCCGCCCACCATGCATGAATACATGGATAGCATTATGCTCCTTCCTTAGTCTTCTTATTCAAAGATTAAAATTAATAGAATAACCTAGCATCAGCTTGCGTTAGTCAGTTGTATCCATAGAGAAAGCCTAATATTTAGCTTATAAGACAGCCAACTTTTGATTTCTAACCACAATTTTTCTTGACGGAAGATAATCAATGGCCAAAATGACATTTCTCGCAAATTTTGTAGTATAATTAGTAGAAAAGTTAAAGGTTTGTTAAATTTTTCTACTAATTGAAAATGTCTACCACTAATTTAGACGTTCTGAATGCTTACATTGAAATTAAAGGAACAAATTCTATGCTAATTGAAACCACTAATTAAATCCACTAATTACGAGGCTCTCAATGAAGCTTTATTTAGATATTTTGGATAATATATGGACATCCTGTATATTTCATACATTAGACGTTCAACTCATTAATGGCCTGTCAATCTAAAATCACTGTGTAAATATGCCAGTTTGTTACCTAACTATTTTTGATCGGTTGTCCAAAACCAGTATTATCTGTGATTTTGCCTATGTTTTTTATTTTTTTTAATTTTTTTAGTAAAAATAGCAATTCCAGCATTTTTTGTTTATATAGTCTGTAAAACGAATAACTTTGAATTTGACAGTTTCCGCGGGCTTTTCTAGTGTTAGTTTTATTAGGTTAGCAACTTGCGGGCCATGCTGATGCAATGCCGTCGCTAATAGAACAGCCTCGGAGCGAGATTTCTGACGTCACGCTAGTTAGATATTACGGATTAATTATGTTGTAGAATACATGGAAAACATTCCTCGTATATGTAATTTTTTGGATTATATTCGACACATTTACATTCGACATTTTTTTCATATGACACAGCACTGATGAAGGCTATAAACGTTAGCTATAACGTTTTTTTTAAACCAAAAAAATAATGAAAAACCGAATGCAGACTTAATCAGCGTTTTTCCCAAACCTAAATCTCAAAAAATCAAAAATTTTAGAATAATTTTACATATAAAATGACAGCGATCTTCATTTCATAGCCATCGCTGACGCCTTTTTTTCTATGATATTGTATTATTTGCAAATATAATTTTTCGCACATTGATGCTTGCAAAATATACATATAAATTTTGTGAATGCAAATAATAATACATCACTATTAGTAGATATTGAATGTTTTTTGTTAAATTAGATCGATTTTCAAACCTCAAAATTTAAAATATATTTTACATTTTACCCATTATCTTATGTACCTATTCATTAATTGTATATTGTAAAACATTTCATGCATTTGTATGGTTCATAGTTTATTTGCCAAAGTATTTATTACTATAAATAGGTATATATATTGTATTTATTAACTGTATATTATGTATAGTTCATGTAAACTACAGTACGTCTGTTCGTTCTGTAGCTACGGGGTATCCGTGAGAGGGGCAACGATATTCTCTCGATGTTTTTTCGTAAAAAATTAGACTAAGCGTCCCATCAATAAAAATTCGACAAATTTGCAAGTAGCCAATAAAACGAGTGGGAGGGGCGATTTGCGGTGACGTACTCGTCAAGTCGACGTATAAAATATATTGTTGTTTATTTAAATGTTTTTTGTCCGCATTCCTTTCATAGACACAGAGCCAGCAGATGTACTGTATATCATTTTTAAAATACAAACCAAAAATACGAGGAATAATTATGTTTTTCGTGTATTCTATAACATACTTATTAATCCGTGGTATCTAACTAGCGTGACGTCATAAATCTCGCTCCAAGGCTGTTCTATTAGAGACGGCATTGGTCTGATATTTAGAAATGTCAAAGGCTGATGACATTTTACTTTTGTCAATTATGACATTTCGCGTTGATTTTTGCAAGAAGAGGAAGAACTGTCACTTGTTTTATAATTTTCCTTTTCTATTTCACGAAAGTAAAAAGAGTTACCTATCTGATTCGTTCAGGCACTCATTTTAAAGAATATCAGTAACTTTTTGGATAGAGGGCTTTTATATTTGCCATGTTGGTAAAAAATAACGGTCAAAATTCAAAGTTATTCATTTTATAGACTATATCTGGTTTGTATACACACATCCAAACTTATATGGAATCACTCTTTATTTCTGACTAAATTTATTGCAAGGATAAAAATTGGTATACAACTTTAAGATAAAGCATTTTGTTGTAAATGAACATGATAATAAAGAATAAACGACTGCTGCGATTTATTTTCTTTTGAGAATTTTGTGTTCAGTAGTAAAATCACGAGTCCGGTAATTTTCATTCAATCCAAAATAATTTAAAAATGTCTTATATTGGATTAACAGATGTATAGAGGGGAAGAATTATTGTTCTCACCGAACAAGGAGTGCTCCAGAGAGACGTAGCAGAGATAGTAGGCATTACCCAGGGTGTTGTATCGAAAAAATATGCAAGGTACTTGGAATTAGGAACACACCAGCATAGGCCCAGACAAAGTCGTCAAAGAGTCACAACTGAACAACAGGATCGCCTTGTGTGCTAAATTGCTAGAATAAATCCCAATGTTTCTCATCCAGAGCTACAAAGACAACTTCTGGCAGATACAAGTGTGAACGTTTTTCAGTTGAAACCATAAGAAAAAGGTTTCGTGCACGAGGGTTTTACAGTGGGAGAGAGTTACGGATCCCACAGTTATCTCGGCATAATAAAATTGACCGGCTAAATTGATGCCTTCAACATCAAAACTGGACAAATGAGAATTGGAAAAATGTTCTTTTTTCGGATGAGACCAGAATTGGCCTAAGATCAGATAACCATCAAATTCGGATTCTCAGAGCTCCAGAAAGACGAGCGAGACTTCAGGCTGCCAAATATGTACCAAGATATAAAAGAAGAACTGTAATGTTCTGGGGGGTATTATACTGGGAGGAAAAACTCCATTGTTATCACTTCAACAAATTTTAACGGGTCGGACATATGTTGATTTGGTGCTAGAACCAGTCGTTAGTCTTTGGAGAGCTGCAATTGGGGATAATTTTAACTCTATGCACGATAGTGCACCTCCCCATACCAGAGGAGTGACTAGAGAATGTCTTGAAACGGAAGGTGTCATAGTTTCGGACTGGCCTGCCTATTTACCAGATCTAAACCCTATCGAACACTTGTGGGACTAGCTCAAAGGAAGGGTTAGAGCTCGTCGAAACAATCCAGGAAATCTCGCACAGCTTATTGATGCAGCATTAGCAGAATGGGAAAACATACCCCAAGACAACGTGGATAATTTAATAAGACGCATGCCAGCGCGGATAGAAGCTTGCATAAGGGCTAGAAGTGGCAACAAGGAATACTAAAATTATCAATTTTCTTTTTGTTTATGCCTTTTTGGCCATTAAAAATTTAAATCTTAATTTCGTTTCAGAAACCAAAAAAATACCATTTTGTTTATTGTTATATGGATTATTTTTCATCAAAAGTCATTGGTAAGGACTGAGTTTTATTCATAAACTGAAAATTTTCATACATCTCAAAAATTATGTAAAATAATAGATGATTCCATATAAAAGTTTGGTTGTGTATATCTTTGGGTCCTTTTGTTGAGAACAGTAAGAATTGTCTATTTATAATACTATTTGAATTTCAACCTTATTAAGGTATTATTATTTAAAATTCTATTACTATCAAATATTTATTAATTCTGACATGTTACTTTCTCCAGCACGCCTTTTTCTATATCAAATACAAAGAGCAGGGCCTTTTTAGTGTTTAATTGTATCGATTTAGATACTTAACAGATAAATATGTCAGATTTAATAAATAAAACAATAAAAAACAATAAGCTTACGTATTTTCTTTTTCGTTACACTGTCTCATCTATCAGCATAAATTATTTTTAATTTATCGTTTCTGTCTAGAGTTATTTCAAAATGTCATCAGCATAATTCTTTTAGCTAAAATAATAGTTATTATTTAGTACTGCTGGGAAAATAAAAATTGAAAATAAAATTTGTTATATACAGATTCATGCAATAGTACGTCTGGTATCTATAGTTCCTTTAATAAATAATTTTTCTATAAGATATATAATGTATATAGGCATTTCAATTAAGACATTTATTTAAAATATTACTACACTACCTACTTCCATTTTTGTTCGAGATGTTTCATAAATACATTTCTAAATACAATTCTTGAAACATAATGGCGCTATTAATGTCAGACTTTTCGAGCATCGTCAAATTTACGAACATCTCTCTCTGAATGAAATGAAACAAAGGAAAAACACTTTATAGAGTAGAATGTAGCATAATTACAAGCTTTATCGGCGTTTGTATTATATAAGAGTCCAATAAAATTAGACACACATTCGTAGAACCGGTTAATATCGTTGGAAAGTAGACATGTTATACAGGGTAAAACAAACAGTAATTTGATTACTGAGCTTAGTTTTTAAATTCTACATTAAGGTAGTTACACATCATAGAGTCAAGTGGTGTAAAATGAGACACATAACAAAAAAAATATTAAGAAACCAAACAAAAAAGTATACAAAAAAATCTTAGTTAACATATTTTACTATCAATTTTAGTTCTAAAAAATAACAATTTTTTATAAAATATATCCAGGATTTCTTGTAAAGTCTAAAATTGCAATAATATATAGGGTGTTTCATTACAAATAACCTACTGCCATCTTGAAAACAAAAAACAATCAAAGATACTTGAATGATGAATTGTATGGTTCATTGTAGACTGGTTTTGTTAAAAAAAAGCTCACCTGAATGAATTTCCTTGTTGAATAGGACACTGTGTAACAAACGGTACTCCATCGTAGTACTGAGATCCTCTCTGCCAGATACCGTGCCAATGGAGGGTTACTTCCATGGCCTCCAGATGATTTTCTACATCGATAACTACTTTGTCATTCTCACAGACCTGTTTGAAAAAAAAAATTAAAACATTATTAACTTGTTTTTTACATTATAAAGTTGTTATACCTGTATACTGGGTCCTGGCAACATACGGTTGACGGCTAGCATACTTCTTTCAACACCATCAGCTAGGATACATTGACAGTTGGACCATACTACGTTGGTAGCGTTGGGTGTACAGATTTGACAGGCCCTGTAACAAAAAATATATTTGATAAATACATAAATACTGCACGATAAAAAAAAGAAGGCATCAAGGAGAACCTGACAATAAAGGTCCTTTGTTACCCTTGACAGCAGTCAGAGAAGTAAGTTTGATTGATAAGCACATTATACCACTTTTAAAGTTAGTTTTTATTAAATTCTGTGATTATTAGTTTGTGCGTTAATAAATAAATAACACATAATAACGCTTAGAATAATTTTCATAATGGACTAGTTTTTGCCAATATGTAATAAGTAAAATAAGCTATAAAAAAATAAATCAATTAATCACTAAAGAATTAGTTATTAAATTAAAAATAAATCGTAAAACTCCTTAAAAAATGATATAATAAATATGTTGTTTGTCAATTTTAAATTAAGATTCATCCCATAAATCCATCACAACCTGGCAACGCTGTCGCCATCGCTTGTCAATCAAAGTTGATCGCGTACATCGGAAATTGTTCTGCGATTACCGATGTCGATTTGGTAACTTTCTAAGATTTATTCGAGATTTATTGTTCGAGATATTCTGTTGTAGCAAATCAATTTACAAAAGAATTATTTGACGTGAGAATTTAGGTTCTTACTAAAATCAGTCAATTCAGAATATGATATTATTTTAATAACTAAGTTTAATGTATTTAATTATCCAGATCATTGAGGATTTCCTTTAATTTTATTAGAGTCATATCCCGTCATCTCTACTGGCATCTGTTTTAAAGATAATTTATACAGGGTGGCCCATCGAAAACGTTCCGCAAGGCATAACAGCCAGAGTAATTGTTTTTCAGAAAATTAAAAAACACGTCGATTTTGTTTGCGAGGGGGACAACTTTTGTCCCAAAAATGATTGCAAAATCTTCAACCCTCTAAGCGGGGGTGTCATCCCCCAGTTTTTTTCAAATGGGAAGAGGGGTTACGTGGTACCGCAATGAAAAGGGCTTTCTATTCTCTATACTTTCCCGCTTCGTTTTTGAAAATCGGTCAAGTCATTGAGAAAATATGAAGGATTGAAATTTGAAAAGCTTATTTAAACATTTATCAGAGTAAATGATAAGGATAAATTCCTTCGTCCAATTTGCTGTTTTTTTTATTATTTCTAGATGTTTATACGCATTTTTTCACTTGCCACAAGGTTGGACGATCAGGTGCGGCAGTTGCTAGATAGCTGTTCTGTGACTTGTGCGTTGAAGTCCTTCTCAATATCGTTAAACTTTTTAACAATTATGATGTTAACTCACATGCAGAAAAAGTGGAAATAAGTTCCACCCGTACAAAATTCAGTTGGTACAAGAACTCAACGAAGACGATTTTGACCGTCGCTTGCAATTTTGCGAAACTATTCTTTTTTTATTCTAATTTCCTATTTAATGTGTGTTTTTCGGATGAGTGTACTTTCTTTTTTAACGGTGTAGTTAATCGGCACAACTGTCGGTACTGGGCTGAGGACAACCTCAGGGTTTTTCACGAGGTGCACACACAAAACCCTCAGAAATTGAACGTGTGGGCTGGTATTTTTGGAAATTCTATTGTAGGTCCTTTTTTTTTCTTCCTAGAAATCTAACAGGTGATATGTACTTGGATTTACTGGAAAATACCATCGACCCAGCCCTAACTGACATCATAGAGAACAATCCTGGATACGTTGAAGCCGAACTAATATTTCAACAAGACGGTGCACCTCCACATCACTCCCAAAATGTGCGTAATTATTTAAATAATAACTTTCCCGGTCGGTGGATAGGACGAAGTGGTGCAATTGAGTGGCCTCCCCGGTCACCCGACTTGACTCCTTTAGACTTTTTTTCTATGGGGACACAAAAAGTAAAGTGTATGGCACTAGTAACCTAACCCGCCTCATTAGAAGACCTGCGAAGACGAATTATTGATGTTGGTTTGACGAAGCGGGGAAATATAGAGAATAGAAAGCCCTTTTCATTGCGGCGCCACTCGACTCCCCTTCCTATTTGAAAAAAGTTGGGGGATGACACCCCCGCTTAGAGGGTTAAAGATTTTGCAATCATGTTTGCGTCAAAAGTTGTGCCCCTCACAAACAAAATTGACGTGTTTTTGGATTTTTTGAAAAAAAATATACCCTGGCCGTTATGCCTTGCGGAACGTTTTCGATGGGCCACCCTGTATATAATTCGACCTGTAATATTGAGACATTAATAATAAGTTTTGGAGAAAGTACTTCGTCAAGTTCGTTACTTATATTGTTATTATTGGTGCGAACTTTTCTCACGTATCGGGAGCTCTTTCATCATCAGGTTTATCGATATAGTTAATATTCGGTGTCGATCTGTCGATATGCTTATTATTTCATCCCCTTTGTCACAGATTTTCGTGATTAATGAATTTATTATTTTACGTTAATTATTTGGAATTTTTGTACGAAAACTGTCCATTTAATGTAACTGCTACTTCTCAAATTATTACTCTGTAGAAAATAAAATTTAATCCTTTTTTTTTGCATACTTATTTCTGATTATCATATTTTACTGTAGTTTTCAATATTCTAAAAATACAAGAGATATTTACACCTACGTTTGAGTTAGGATAAAAACTACATATATTAATGGAAAACCAAGCAATGCAGTAAAAAACAATTTCTAATTAGCATAGAATTCGATATAAGCGGCGATGTGGCAACGCCGCAATTACAAATTACACAAATTACAACAAATTAATAAATTATCTCGACTAACGATTGTTAATTGGAACGTCGAATTATTTAAATAAACATTGCCAAGAGCGTTTCTTCATTAGCCAGATTGGCTATTCATGTTAGGAATTTTTATTAGTTCTTAAACAAATTGTCGAATGATGATTCCTTGTAATTTGTCCATCCTTAGATGTTTTCTTCTTTTTACGAAATTAATTTCTTCATATAGAATTTGTGAATAAATTTATTATTTTTTTTTCGATAGGTGGAGAGTTTGTTGTAATACCTTTTTTGATTTATTTTAAAAAATATTATTTAAAATTTAGTTGCATGGATTTATTATTATCAACAGTCACTCTTAAGACAGTCTAGTCTCCATGAACTGAATTAGTATGAAACAAGTATTATACACAGGGTGGTACGAACTGTATTTCTGAAACTTCGGCGGCATATTCTGCGCGTAGCGCCCTCTACAAGTAGGAGTCATATTGACATGAAAATCAAAATTTTCATGTTAAAAAACTCCCACACACCAATTTTCATCCAAATATTGACGTTACTTCGGAAATTATTTCGAAAAAATCGAAATCAAAATGAAATTTCTACACCCTGTATCTCCGAAACTAAGCATTTTGGGACATTCATTTATACGAACTTTTTTGCTTATTTTTATCTTCAGAATATGCTGCTGAAGTTACCGGAATACAGTTCGAACCACCCTGTATACTGTGTGATTTTAGATTACGATCGAAAAAATCTCAATAAAACTACTCCACACTTAATAAAAATAATACAGCAAATTATTTTTCTAAATAAATCCAACGTATTTAAATTCAAAACAGAAATTTTGGAAGATCTGACGTGAGATTAGGCACCTTACTAGTGGGGGAGGGGTGCTGTTGACTCCTCGGAAACGCTTCAAATAATATATCGACGCGCCTTACTATTATATCGAATTTTAAACAGTATTTACAATGTTTCTCAACGTATATCACACGTTTGTTACAAGAAATGACAAAGAAAATGCCTGGATATGTTTATTAATTAGGAAAGCGACAGAAGTTAAAATCTGAACAAAAACTGGCTTACTTTCTTATATACGCAACTTTCTAGCTACTTGCAGCCTTGATATCAGCGTAATCATATACTTAATTAAGTAAATTAAACTTATATCAGTCTCCTTAGTTTAATATATACGGCGCTGTCAATGTGATTAATTGCTGAGAAATTTCGTTTAATGAAACTTTTCAATATCGCCCGTAAAATGTTATTAATTAAGCAGTTTTTGTTTGTTAAGTTGTGCGTTTAACAGTTTAACAAACAAAAACTGTTTAATTAGTCTCTTTTAAATATCCACTGACGTTTTCAGTAAATGTCTCAATTAGTTAAAATAACTTTCTTGGAAGTATCTCCATATTGGGTACAGTATACAGTGTGTTCAAGATGTGTGGGCTTAAACACTGAAAATTGCAAATAATATTACCAACAAAAATGAAGTAAAATGTGACAAGGTAAACAACGAATTGTCACTAATAATATCACAAGAGCTTAAATTATTTTCGGAAATTTTTTTGAGGGCACGAATATTTTGAAAATTATCCCGAGTCGAAGACGAGGGATAATTTTCCTAAAATATTCGTGCCCGAAAGAAAATTTCCAGGAATAATTTAAGCTTGCGTGGTATTCGGTAAGAAAATTTCACACCTAAATTTGAAAAAAAAAATATTAATCCAACATGACATTTTAGTTTGTTGTTGTGCGTTTAACAAACAAAAACTGTTTAATTAGTCTCTTTAAATATCCACTGACGTTTTCAGTAAATGTCTCAATTAGTTAAAATAACTTTCTTGGAAACATCTCCATATTGGGTACAGTATACAGTGTGTTCAAGATGTGTGGGCTTAAACACTGAAAATTGCAAATAATATTACCAACAAAAATGAAGTAAAATGTGACAAGGCAAACAACGAATTGTCACTAGTAATACCACTAGAGGGCAAATAATTATTTCCGGAATTTTTTTCGAGCTCATAAATATTTTGAAAATTATCCCGAGTCGAAGACGAGGGATAATTTTCTAAGAATATTCATGAGCTAGAAAAAATGTCTGGATTTTATTTGACCTCCTGTGGTATTCGGTAAGAAAATTCCACACCAAATTGGGTTTGAAAATCAAATAATTAAAATGTATTTTTCGATTTTTGGTCGAATTGATTATTTAGTTACTATGATAACTAAGTGACACCCAAACCTAAAAACTATTTCAGATTTGAAGCTGTCAAGCGGCACGGCTTAAAAAAATGTTTCGCTTCGGTCATGAA